TCAAAATATTTATTTATTTCTTTATTTTGAAACTTCTTTTTTTAAATAAGTGTGAACTTTTATTTTGAAACTGTTAACTGTAAACTTGCAAATAAATATTGGAACATTGCCTTCAACACACCAGCTTGCACTGCATAAATCAAAGAATAAAATAACCATAATCATAGAAAAATCCAACACACAATAAATACCAATTTATCTGGAAGTTTTGGATTATATTAGCAAATGAAGGTTAAATGGAGTCTAAACACTGGATAAACAGAGACACAGAGATAAGACCCTGAAAGGCTAGAACTTAACAGATGGAGACAAATTATTGACATGAATAGACCTGTGGAAACCCTAATCGTAGGTTTAGAACCTTGATGATCAGCGAAACCCTAGGTCTCAAATCGCCTAAATAAGGCCGATTTGCAATGTAAATACCTGAACTGTCACGGCATATGATGCAGAGGAGACTGAATCACCGCGCCAGCTGAGAGGGCATAGAGAGAAAGCGAGACAGGAGAGTCTACAAAATCTATTTCTATATCTAATTATAAAATTTTTAATTTAAAAAATAGTTAAAATCATAAAATTTTTAATTTAAAAAATAGTTAAAATAAAGTAGATCTATAAACATACGAAAATCTTAATAAAGGAGATCTATAAACATTTGAAAATTTTCAAAATAGACCGTATATATTGTAAAATGTACTATTTAAAAAACTTAAAATCTTTTTATTTTTTAGAGTTCTACATCTCGCGTCTCGATATCAAGATGACCAATTAAAACTATTTTTTAGATGCATCCGAGAGGTAAGGTTGCAACCTTACGTAAACTTTTTCCTTTTAAAATTCCAAAACCAGCTCTCTGACCTGTTCTTTTGGATAAAGTTTAGAAAGTCACAGCATGATTTGTATGGTCATGATAACAGCATGACCATGAGTTTATTACCGTCAAATCAATAAATTGGATGGCGATGAAGGGAAAGCGGGATGCCCATGGCATGTGAAGTGTGACCCACTCCGTGGTACCAGGTGCAGTGATACATATTGGGATTGTATACTTAGGGGTGGCAACATGTCAGGTACAGGTTAGATCGAATTGGACCTATACTCGGACCCAAATGGTATTTGGATCCAAAATTTAGACCCAAACCTAAACCCATTGGTTTTGGGACCTGTCGGGGGGTCTCGAGTCTAATCGGATCCATTGCCGCCTTATGATTATGAGCTTTTTTTTCTTTTATTTTTTTGCTCTTTTTTAAACAATCATATACCATGTAATTATGAGCTTCTTCTTTTATTGCCAATAATATTGTAAATGTTACCAATATTATGACAATATGAACACCCACCTAGAGACACATGATTTTCATCATATATCCTATTACTACAGATACGAGTCAGGTATAGGTTCGGGTCCCGCTCGAACCGGACCCAAATAATATTCAGGTCCAAAATTTATATCCATTCCAGACCCGAGGTTGGGTTTACACGTGGGGTTCCAAGTCTGGTCGGGTCCTTGCTAGCCCTTTGTATACTACAATACCGTTGTAGTTCCAACTCTACGAAGAAGCTTACTAAATAGTATTAAAAAAAAATTGAAAAAAAAAAATTAAAGCTTAAAATTTATTTATTCATTTCAAGCTAATGATCACCTAGACTGGTTTGAAACAAACCTATGCCATGGGTCGTGCCCGTTGCCGGCCCAGTGATTCACCTTTTTGTTTGTTTTTCAAATAATTTGAACCTTCTCTCATCCAAAGTGACATGTCTACCACTAAACCAGATCTCTCAAAGGGCAAGGATTAAATGTTTGGATGGAGGCTTTCTTATGTATATATTGTAAAAGGGACTATATTGTAAATGGTGTTTATAGAAGGTTAAGGCTCTAACCAATCAAGGCAAGGCTCAAATAATGTCCAAAGGTGTTGTTTTGGTACTATAAAACTTTATGATGGCCTGAAAATTTCCTTTCATCTTTAATTATAAAAATTAAAGCTTAAAAAATAGTGTAGATTGAACATATCTATAAACACTTTAAAATCTTGAAAATTGACAGTTCAAAAAATGCATTACAAGATGCACTATTTCCAATATTTGAAATTCATTTTTTCTCTTCTTTATACATCTTGAGGTCGAGATGATCGATTTGAATATTTTTGGACATCTAAACAAACTCTTATAGTGAATATTTTAGGTGCGCTTCAATTTCATTGTTTAGAGCCTTGCCCTTATATTTTTTTATTTTTTTATAAAATCTTCAATCTTTAGCTCAAATGATGTCATAATCCCTTTTATAAATTAGATGTGAAATTTATAAAGAAGTGTATTGCAAAATTTCGAGGAAATTTAATTTGAACTTTATTGCCAGTCAAATGAGATATCCTAACTAACCAATTTCATATCTATTAATAAAAAATAAACGTGTCCTCCTCATGCCAAAAGTAAGTGGACATCTTTTTTAGCAAAACTCTTTCTAATGCTCATAGGCGAAAATGTACAATAATTTTGCCCCTGCAACGGCTCTCATTGTGGTTCAAGGCGGAGACCCTTCGACCGTCACATACCTGTTATGTTTATGACACCACCGCATTGGCTCTATTAAAGCCATTGCAGTTCGCAACAGCTTTAATATAGCCAATGCGGTGCCACATCCCCACCATCCGTGAAAAATGAATGGAGGTGAGACTATAGGTAAAATTACTGTACAATTTCGCCATAGGTAATGCAAAGTGCTTCCCTATTTTATAAATGGGTACAATCCAGTTAAGGCGCACCTCCAAAATTTATCATAATGTGTAATTTTGTTGTAAACATTTTTTAGAATTGTCTTAAAATCTATTTTCATATCTAATTAGAAAATTTTAAATTCCAAAAATGATTAAAATCAAGTATATCTATAGACATGTGAAAATCTAGATAATGTGTTGCAAGATGCACTATTTTTGGGACTCAAATATTTTTTTTTTCATATTCATACATCTTGACATCGAGATGATCAATTAGAGGGTTTTTCGGCATTAAAACAACCTTTCAGATATATTTTTGAGGTGCATATGTAATTCTACATTTTAAGGTTGCCACTTTATACAAACTTTTCCCTTTATTATATTTCCATTGCATAGGGAAAAGGGTCTAAAGCACCATTTTAGTTAGCTATCTATTTGGAGTAGTTACATCTCAACCTTTCGATAAAATAAACGGATCTGAGCTTCCCCAAGGCACAGACTAGTATTCTTTTAAGCCCACAAACAAAATAACAGCACTTTGAATTTCCACCACGACCGAACTGCGAAATAAAAAGACATGAAAAAATATGACTTTCAAACAATGTTTTAAAATTTGGCGATTCTCGATCAGGATGGGGATTTAGTCAATATCGAACTGGTTTTTTGACGATATGAGTCCCGACCCTGTTCCCCTTAAAACCTGGCCTTTAATTTTTTTAAAAAACTTATTTAAATTTTTCTTAGGTCCTTTAAATCCCCATGCAATAAACCCATACTTTAATGTTTTATTTATTTTCTTTTATGTTTTAATAATGTTATAGATCATTGATTCATACCAATCTGAATCATTGATTTATAGATCTACTTGATTTTTAACCATTTTTGGAATTTTCAATTTTATAATCAGGTTTGAAAATAGATTTTAAGACAATACTAAGAACTTTTTACAATAAATTACATGTTCTGATAAATTTTTAAGGTGCGCCTTAATTATATTGTTTAAGGTTGCAACCTTATAAAAACTGCACCCTTACTCAATATAGTTAATTTTCCTTCAATAGTGAACACAAGTAAGATTGGCAATGGACCTAGACCCGACCCGACCTGGGACCCACTGGGTATACTTGACACGAGTTCGGGAATGGTGCAATATTTGGACCATACAGGTCAGGTTCGGGTCCAAGTCCAAAACTTGGACCCGAATACTATTCGGATCGGGGTCTGGTTGGACCCGATCTGTACTTGAAATCTAATGGCGGGTGATTGTGACTTTGTTGTCAATAATATGAGTATCTGATGGTAAAAAATGGGCAAAAAAAAAAAAGCTCATAGTAAAATTGACAATGGACCCGACCAGACTCGAGACCTGATGGGGGACCCAATGGATACTGGGTATGGGTCTAACTTTTGAACATGACAGGTTGGATCCAATACTATTTGGGTTTGGATTCGGGCCAGTTACCACCTCTACACAAAAGGTATTTTGAGAACATTAAATGGAAAATAACACTGTTCTTACTGCTTGGAATGGCACAATTTGCCCCAAGCCCTATTGGTTTTTTGGCTATCAAATCAGGTTTTCTACACAGACGCTCTCTCTCTCACGCACATTTTCTATCTCTTTCCCCAAAATGCAACCGGTTTGGACTTTCAAACCCCGAAAATAAAGCATTAGCAAATTAATTAAAATATCATGATTCTACATGGGTTTTCTGCCCCCATTATGTTTCGGATTTTAAAAATCCGAACGGCCTTTTGGTTCAGATTTTCAAAGTCCATAACCAAATCCTCACAACCCATCTCGTACCCTATCTCTTGTTTTGTCCAAAAACATTATTCGGATTTTCAAAAATCAAACCAGAATGTGGACAAAAAATTGGTTTGAAACTATAATTTTTAAAATATTTTTGTTATTACACTCGATTGAGATTTGAAAATTCCAAACCAATAGCATTTTGGGAAAAAAAAATAGAAAAAGCGGAAAAATGAGGACATGAGCCTAAATTACAAAATATCGGGCCTAGATTTTTAATTAAAAAAAAATATAATCATAAATTTCGCTAAACTTTGGACCCTTCACCTAGTTATTTGCACATGAAGAAATCAGCTTTGTTTTTTAAACTACAAATTTTATGAAACAAACGTGGAACGTAACTACAGTGTTATTCTCATCGAGGGATACGACAGGCATTTCGAAAATTAACAAGCATACATCACATATTAATGAGGAAACTCAGTGTTATTTTAGTAATTTCTCATTTCCACTAAAAAAGTTAAATATCTACTTCAATATATTTCCCGCCCTTTTTCATCTCTCTGAAATCACTTGGGTTTTGGCTCTCTCTTTTCACTCTCGGATCACATCAAAAAAAAGTTGCAGAAACCCGAACCCTAGTTTTTATTAAATTGTTTATCCTCCATTTCTTTTTAGCAAATTATCCATTTTCACTTCAACTGTTTCACCTCAGAGCAAAATCCATTTCCAGAAACAAAAACCCTAAAAGGTCATGTGTTTCAATCAGATATCTGCAACGCTTCAGGCCTATCTCTCTATTTTGGAGAAAATTCCATTTCCAGATACAAAAACCCATAACTTTATGTGTTTTTACTAGATCTCTGCGACTTTTAGTCCTCCTCCACTCAAAATGTACATCAAAGAGATCTCTTTAGAGGGTTTCAAGTCTTACGCGACAAGAACTGTTGTTCCTGGTTTTGATCCCTATTTCAATGCTATTACTGGTTTGAATGGATCTGGAAAATCGAACATTCTGGATTCTATATGCTTTGTGCTGGGAATCACCAATCTACAGCAGGTTAGGGCTTCAAATCTTCAAGAGCTCGTGTATAAACAGGGCCAAGCTGGGGTGACCAAAGCCACAGTCTCAGTTATCTTTGATAATTGTGATAGGAGTCGGAGTCCCCTTGGCTACGAGGAATTTCCAGAAATTACAGTCACTCGTCAGGTATTTTATTCCTGTTTGTTTCCCTCTCCAATCCAAGTTTTCCTTGTTTGCTGATTTTCAGTGGATGTAAGAGAGTCCAGTCCGTAGATTTTGGTTTTTTGGAGTTCATTAAGTTTGTGTTATCTCCCTCTTCTTTATTTCTCTGGTGAGTTATCCTGGACATATATTTGTAGAAACTGCCTGTGTGGACATGGCCATTTTCTTTTACTGACTTCCTTCCTAAGCTGAAATTTTTATATGCTTGTGTAAACCCTGATCATCAACATTCTTCTAAAATTTTGTGTGGTTTCATTCGGATCATTGGTTTAGGTGTTATCTCTACCACTATTTCCTTTTCCAGTCTCCTGCTGCTTTTTATTTATTTGCAGCTGAAAGTAATTAATGCATAGTAGTGAATTTAAATCCTTTAAAAGTGTTGTCTTTTGGGATTGTAGTTCAGGTTCTATGTGTAGGATTTGGGCCTGGATTTCTTCTTTTCGCACATTGTTTGTTTCTTTTTGTATTGACTACTGATTTTTGGTGCTTACTACAAGTAAGATTTTTTGGTTTGCATTGTAGTGTCTCCAGCTGATTCCTTTAAATAATTTTAATGAGCCCCTGTTTACCATGTTCTTCATCTCAAGGTGGGACTCTTCTGGTTTTTCCTTATATTGGATTTGAAATGCTGAAGAAAATACATTTTCCTATGATATGTTTTCTGGTAAGACATTTGTATAATCGCTTGTTTTTTCTCGTCATTTCCAATTCTATATCAACAAGAGATAAAGATTCTATTTTTATCCCCAATTCTCTCTCATTACCATTATTTGGTTGTTGAACACTGGAAACCATGAATTGCTGTATGATGTGACCTTATTCTGAGATTTTTGGAGCTAGAGGCTTGCATTTTATTTGTGCATTTTCTGTATTTTATATCTTTATGGGCCTGTTTCATTTATGATGCTGATGCTTTCAAGGTATGTTTCATGCTTATCATTTACGTTCTGCGAGCTTCAAAATATGCATTTACTTTTGAACTACTCAAAATAATTATAAACTGGGGAAAATGCTAGTGTAGGCCAGTGGGCCTACAGCTACATATGAGCCCAACGGCCCAGATTCAATTTGGGCCGATCCAATGATCATGATTGCATTTTGTATTTGAATTTTAATTTTGTTCTAAATCCAAATCACTTGAAATTTTGGGCTTGTGTTCTTAAAAAATAGGAGAATCCAATAAAAATATCAAAAAAATATTATGTAAGAAATAAATTGACCAAAATAACCTCGAAACTTTTCAGGAGTATTTTGGTAAATTTATATATTACGAATGATTTTTTTTAACAATTTTATTAGGTCATCTTGATGAGAAGAACACCGACCTAAAATTTCACGTGATTTGGATTTCTAGAAAAAAAAATTAAAATTAAAATACGAAATGAGGTCGTGTTCGTCAGATCGGCCCAGATTGAATCTAGGCCATTGGGCTTATTTGTAGCTGTAGGCTCACTTGCCTACGTTAGCATTTCCCTATAAATATGTATCAGATGCAAGATAAAATTATGATAAACCATTAATAGTTAGTTAACTTCTATTTTCTGTAAATTGAGTATCACGTAGAATATATTGCTTACTTAATTTCAATAGAACAAGCTTATCCTAGGAAGTTTGTGTTATCTGATAACTAAAAATATCTGACTTTTGACTTTTCTGATCCCCTTGATTAGTGGTCCTTATTTTCTGCTTTCCCTTTTCATATTTTCTTTTAATTTTTTTGAAAGTATTGTAGTTATAGTAAGTTGTAATTCTTTCTCTTGTGGATGCATGGTATTTCGTTTTCTATGTATATTATTTTTGGTTTGTTTGATGGGTTGATGTCATTTGTTTCCATTAAAGGTCTTCCCTTTGGACCATGACCATAGGTCCAGAGAAATGTGTAGACATGCCACACTTAGTATTTGTTTATCTTCATCTCTTTTGAAATATAGCACTTTTAGTATTCCCCACTACAGGTCTGGTATACACAACCTGTAATATGTGTTCAATTAAAGGAATTTTTGGGTGTTGCTGCATTTGATGTCATGTAGACTCATATTTGATCTCAGTAGAAAATCAGTGTGCATTTTACCCAAATTTCATGCCAATTTCATTTATTTCTTATTAGGTTGCGCTGGAACCTGTAAAATGTAGAATATTGTTGTTTCTTCATTGGCAAAACCCTAAACCCTATCTCATTACTAAATCAGTACTCAGGAGAATTTGTTTATTTGATATTATAGATTGTTGTGGGTGGAAGGAACAAGTATTTAATCAATGGGCACCTAGCTCAGCCCTCTCGGGTTCAGAACCTTTTCCATTCTGTGCAACTGAATGTGAACAACCCACATTTTCTTATAATGCAAGGGCGCATAACAAAGGTCTTAAACATGAAACCACCGGAGATACTATCCATGCTGGAAGAGGCAGCCGGGACTAGAATGTATGAGACAAAGAAAGAGTCGGCCCTAAGAACACTTGAGAAGAAACAGACGAAGGTCGATGAGATTGATAAGCTACTTGATCAAGAGATACTGCCTGCTTTAGAGAAACTTAGGAAGGAGAAAGGGCAGTACATGCAATGGGCAAATGGAAATGCTGAATTAGATCGACTCAAAAGATTTTGCAATGCTTATGAATTTGTTCAAGCAGAGAAAATAAGAGATGCGGCAATTGGTGGAGTGGATCGGCTAAAGGAAAAGATTGCTGATATTCAGAGTAACATGGAAAATCTGAAGGCCGAAATACAAGAGAAGGAGAGAACAATTGCGACTTTGAGGAGTGAAAAGGAGGCAAAGATGGGTGGGGAGATGAAAGCTTTATCAGAGAAGGTAGATGCTCTCTCACATGATCTTGTGAGAGAAACATCTGCCCTTACTAATAAAAAAGATTCTCTCAAGGCTGAGCAAAAGGCTGCACAAAAGGTAACAATTTCTTGGATCAGGAGATACCCGGTACCTTATCTCGATTTCTATGTTGTGGATGGCACTGACAAGATAGTAAATTTGCATTGCTGTTTCTGCTCCTTTTCCACCCTTTTTTGCTTCTTTGTTTTGTTTTATCAGCTTATGGTGTACGAGGCATGTGGGTTGGGCTTGCTTCATCTATGAACTTACTATTGATTTATCTGGTTATCTGACAGATTATCAAAGGTATTGAGGACAGCGAGAAGTCTATACAAGAAAGAGATGCTGCTGTTAAAAGAGCAGATGATGGAGCGGCGGATCTTAAAAAGACAGTGGAGGATCTTTCCAGGAAATTGGAAGAGCTTGAAAAGGAATACCAGGTACATGTGTGTTGTCAGTGCTTTCATGGGCATTCGGAATTGTGTTTGATCTCATGAAGTTTACCTCTTTTCTTTATGTGATATTTGCACTTTTGAAGATATACTACATTATTCCATCCCCTTCTTATTCATGCTTTGGAGCAAGTGGTGGATGATAACACCATGCTTACCATTTGTAGGGGGTTCTTGCTGGCAAGAGCAGTGGAAATGAGGAGAAATGTCTCGAGGATCAACTAGTGGATGCTAAAGCCTCAGTTGGCAATGCTGAAACAGAATTGAAACAATTGACTACAAAAATAAACCACTCCGAGAGAGAACTAAAGGAGAAGAAGAAACAGTTAATCTCCAAGTGCCAGGAGGCCTTGGCAACAGAAAATGAGCTGAAATCTAAGAGGAAAGATGTGGAGGATGCAAAATCTGCACTGGAATCTGTTGTTTACGAGGAGGGTCAAATGGAAACCTTGGAAAAGGTTTTGCGCATATCAAGACTTGATCGCCTTCTTTATACCTCTTTGGTGTTTATCTTTGATAGTAGTTGTTATCTGGTCATGTGCTATATCCTCACTAAGTATATCACATGGAACTCTTTTTTAAAATCAAGAGGCCTGCTTCTACTTAATAGCCTTATTGGAAGAACTAATTTATTGGAAAATGTTACCAGGAGCGTGTTGAGGAATCGAAGCTGGTTCAGAGGTTGAAGGATGATAATCGGGCTCTCTCAGCACAGTTGGGAAATGTTCAGTTCACATATCGTGACCCCACAAAGGATTTTGATAGATCTAAGGTGAAAGGAGTTGTGGCTAAACTCATTAGGGTGAAGGATAGCTCTGCATTGACTGCTATAGAGGTTGTTTTTCATGACTCAACTCATACCATATAAATTGTTGCCCCTTTCAATTTCTTCAAATTTGCAGTTATGCAGACCAATTTTTTTTCCCAAGGACAATACCTAAAGCAGCTCGTCCACTCTTTAGGTTACAGCTGGGGGAAAGCTGTATAATGTTGTTGTAGATACAGAACAGACAGGAAAGTTATTGCTTGAAAGAGGTGACCTTCGAAGACGAGTAACAATTATACCTTTAAACAAAATCCAGTCCAATATCATCAACCAAAGGGTGCAACAGGCTGCAGTCAGGATGGTTAGTTTATGGCTTTGTGCTTTGACATTTCTAAATGTTTTATGTGGATTTCGCATGGCTTAATGCATGCTTTAATATTCTGCAGGTTGGCGAAGGTAATGCTCAATTAGCACTTTGCTTGGTTGGATATGATGAAGATGTAAAGGTATGTTGTACTTTCACCCGAAAACAGGTCAATTAAATGCAAGTTGTTGTGTTTCCAATGAATAGATTTTCATTCACCCAAACCTTGTGCTGTATGGATGACAAAAGCAGCCTTCAAACTGCAATACAGGCACTTCAATCTCTTTGCATGATGATGGCAAGATTGCCCATTGAATATGGTGCCATTGTTCCCCAGTGGTCAGATCAATTGGGGTATTCATATATGTGAGAGTGAGACAATACAATACTACTTAATGGAAAGGAAATGAATGAAATGATCACTTTGCAGTGCCATAATTCTCAAATCAAGTTTAGAAACATTGATTTAGTCCTGAATTCTCAATGAGACAACTACCGAAATCTAAATAGAAACATTTAACTAACATGATTACAGCATCTCCTCTTGATGTCTGTAAAGTGTAGACCAACTCACTTGAAACACAATTCAAGATAGCTTCAAAGGCCTTCATTCCAATTATATACTAGCTCGCCATTCCCTCGTTATCTGATTGTTGGTGAACCTTAGTGTTTGACATGCTCTTTTGGATTTGGAATGTAAAAGTCACAAACACAGAAATACCTTATGTATATTATGTGGAAGAACACAGTTAGCAAACAATCTAGTCTACATTGCACAAAATATTTGGAAAAATTAGTGCATTATCCCTAAAAGGTAGGTCTTGAGTATAGCTATTGCACTTACATGTATCCGCTAAATCACAGCGGCGAATATAGTTACATAAATAAGATCTATTGGCTTTTTGGATCAGGTATTTACTGTTATTGATACCGAGTTTCATCCTTTGGATTTGGCTTGAGATTTGTACTTGGGGCATGCCAACTCAACCTTTATAGTTGAGCTGAACCAACTGAACCTGCTCCTAATTGCAACAAACATAGGGAAACACCCTCCAATATCTGAAGTGAAGTTAATTACTGGCTCGAGTTGGGGCTCCCAGGCATGATGAGACACCTCAACTGAGTATGTTCTCTGAGGCCTCACTAGAACTATCTAAAGATTCTAAGCTAGACTATTATCGGTTGTGAAATGCATTGAGTTGCTCCTATGTAAAGGAGTAGTGCATTCTAGTCTGCTGCTAGGGAGATCGATTTCTTAACAGTTAGGTTAAGGTTTAGATTCTAATTTCTTTGACTGACCCAAGAGATTGTCCATCTGAACTTCTGAATGGTATAATACCGATCCAAAGTGTCCTTCGGGAAAATTATGAGTTATTAGCATATCTAGCGTCATAGCCACTTTACAAAACCTTCCTACCTATGAAATTTTAACAAACTGTTGTGGTTTTAATTTGGCACCGTGATGATGTGAAAGAAGCACGAGAAATTGAATCTATATTTATTTAAATCCTTGAATGATATGAATTCAACAAGTATAAGGAGGAAGAAAGCACTGTTAATTGAGACGAGGGTTGTTGAGTCTTTCGTAAAAAAAATAATCAGGTCCAAAAACATTAATATTAGCATCCTAGGGAACTTCCAAGAGAGTTATTTACAATACAAGCAATTCAACCCCCCCCCCCACACTCCCCCACCAAAAATAATAAAAATAAATAAATAAAAAAACCTCCACCCATGAACTCCCACTCTAAAAAATTCCATGCACTTTTCCTACCAAACCACCAACTTTGATACTACCTACAATTCAGGACCCTATCTCAAACTCGTCTATGTACTGACCCCTTAACTGTAGGAACCCTGTCTCAAACTCATATATGTACCGACTCCTTAATTTACGACTTTCCATGTGACTATCTCTCTACCTTTCTATCCATATATTTAGGTTTCTCTACATGATAACTAACTTCAGAAAAGAACTGCAACAAAAAAAAACTATCCACACTACTAAATAAGGCCTTTCCTAAAAATCCTAAACAAGCAGAGACATGCTATTCTTGACCCTTTTTCGTGAAAATATTGGAATACTCCTAATATGTATCCAATCCAATAAGGACATTCTACCCTATCCCAAGGAAAAAATAATTTTACTAAAAGCTACTTTGCATGCCACCATTAATAATAAAAATCCTTTCTAATCCCCCTGTGCTATTTGACCCAATCTAAACAATAACAAATAAATTAAAAATCCATCCACATCCCTGAAATTAAAGTTAAAAGGGAGTAGAAAAAAAAAAAAAACTAAAAACTCAAATTGAGCCCTCCTCTTGATCACGATTTGCATCATGTTGTAGTCAAGTATTTATTTTGCTTGGGACATTAATGGATGCATTTCATTGTTTAGCATCTTCTATTTGATCTTTGGATTTTTCTTTTAATGTTTTCTCTTTGATTGGTGGTAGTAGATTTTAATCAAATGTTATTCCTAGCATCGACATAATTAAAATTTCTTTGAAAAAAGTTGATGAATATTTGCAAAATGATATCTATTTGAATTCCTCTAACTTCTCATTGTTAACCGTTGACATTATACAGTTTAGAGGTTTTTTTGAGTTATTTTGATGTAAGGAAATGTTAGGAGAACTTTGTGTCCTTGTCAAAGATTATCAATGGAACTAAATGCTTTTTTTTTTCCCCCCTAAATCATTCTACTGGGCAAATGTTCTGATAGTTCGTACTGCAATATGTGTTGTAGAATGCAATGGCCTTTGTGTTTGGGTCAACATTTGTGTGCAAAAGTTCTGACATTGCAAAGGAGGTATGTGTATGTTTCTATAGATAACTCAATTGTGAAAATAAGGTTCATGTAGCTTGTTAAGGCCTGTGGTCATTGCCTAGAGTATTATATTGTCCTCCTGGACCATATTCAGCTTTTATTTTCTGTCGCATTTAATTCATGTTTTCCTTCATATTTATGATTTTTTCATTATGGTGTTTGTATTCTTGCTTTAATCATATTTCACAATTCAGTAGTACAAAAGACAGGAGTATTCATATCAGTTGGAAGGAGCGAATCATTACTTGACCTGAAGTTTTTATTTGGGAAATTGTGGTTCGATGATTCAATAACTTCAATATCATAACAATTTCACTGTAAACTATGCATGGGTGATGATTTGAGAGAATGAGGGTTTTAGGTCGTAATGCATTCTTCCTTTCATATGCATGTAGCAATTCTAGAATAATTTACATCACTTAAAATGGAAATGTCCGGCATGTACAATCCTTTGGTTAGTGAACAATGAAATGATAATGGTTCAATAACTTCAACATCATAATAATTTTTTGGGTAATTCAGTGGCAAGACCGGCCCCTACCTGTGTTATTCAATAGATTAGGGAGTTACATTTTGAAGGTGGTAATTGGGGGTGTCAGTCGTAGGAATGGATACCACAATGTGGTAACTAGGTGTGGGGATGCTACCACCACGACCCCAGCCCCTTTCCTACTCAACATCATAATAATTTCACTATAAATTATGCATGGGTGATGATTTGAGCGAATGAGCATTTTAGGTCGTAATGCATTCTTCCTTTCATATGCATGTAGCAATTCTGGAATAATTTACATCACTTAAAATGAACATGTCTAGTATGTATACTCCTTTGGTTAGTGAACAATGAAACGATAAAAAATTCTTTTGGTTTGTGCTTGACATGAATGTAGTTAGAAATCTTAAGCTGTGCTTTGCTCCACCTCCTTGCGGACATTTAGGCTTTGGGTATCATGTCGACTCAATATCCCAAATGTCAGTGGCAGAACAAATTCTTGAAGAAGGTGCCACACCTGGTGTTCATCAAGGCTTTTCAGCAAGTTTGCATTTCTAAGACACTCCTTGCTGTTTGCACCTATGTTTTTTGAACTGTTTGCTGTCTGCACTAATCTATGGCTATATAATTTCTTTGTGATTTTGGTGTTCTATTTTGGATTATGGAGCAGGATTAGTAATTTCAATATTGTGGAAGATGACTCTTCGACGTGTCAAAGTAGTTGCTTTTCCTTGGAAATGTAGATGCCAGAGCATGGGAATCTAGTAATTTTATATTTAATTAATTTGCAGCATTTCGCTGTGTCATGGATGCATAATAATAAAATGGCAGAGGACATTTCTATGCATATTTTCAATATTGAACAAGGGCAATCTAGAATCTTGAAATCGAAGGTTCATTGAAATGTTAAAAAGTTCTTAGGAGTTCAAGGGATAGTAACAATAAGAATGTCAAATATGGAATTTGATCTTACTGGTTTCGTATCTTATCATTGAAACTCAAAGCGTATACAAGTGAGTAACCACCTGTGATTTGCAATTGCACTAATGAGAATACTCGTTAGAGCAAGTAAGCATAAAAGAGATAAGACTTTCAGAAATTCACAGTGTATAGGCATTAACTTATAAAAGATTAACATAACAATTGTCTATGGCTCTTTGCTTTAGAAAAATGCATGTTGCTGTTTTGAATATCCTTAGAAAGGAAAAGTACTAATTTTCTCGAAACTGTTGTCAAAATGGAAAAGGCATGTGGTTTTAGGTCTTCCTTAATGCTAAAAACAAAGCTAATACCAATTATTGAGAGAACTAGCAGCAGGAGTGGTGTGCTGATTTTTCTTATCAGTTTCAGTTTCATCTTACAAGAAAGTGAAAATGCTTTTGGCAAACTTTTATTCTTGCTGAAAATATTGACTTCTGTAGTTTTATTTTATGAGCATGGTGAGACAGCTAAATTTTCGCCCTTAGATGCTTATACTCTAAAAGATTATTCAAACATCACTAATGAATCTAATTGCATAGTTTTTCTTTACATCCTATGGGTACTGTATTAATAAAAGTTGATTCCATAGTTGATGTGGATCTTTTGCTTTGTTATCAATTAACTTGTGTATTATTTTCCTGGTTGAGTATTAGATATTAATGGCGAGGTGCGTTTCAATTTTCGGATTTTTATTGTAGGTTACATTCAATAGAGAAATCCAAGTACGCAGTGTAACTCTTGAGGGAGATATTTTCCAGCCAAGTGGTCTTCTTACCGGTGGTAGTCGCAAGTTAGTATTGCAGCCCTGCTACCCTCTTCATTGGCATCATTTTTCTTTATAGATTTTTCCAATGTGACCATTTTTTTTTGTATTTGGTAATCATTCATGTTGAGTTTTTTGGTTTTTTTTTTTACTCTGTTTGTTAACGAAATTGATTAACTAGTGTTTCTTAAATTTTACTTTTAATTAAACTATGCATTGTTGGAAGCTCATTTTGATTTAGTGATGTTGCCATATATGCTTTTTTTTGTCTGTTTAATGAATTATGAACTAGTTTATGTTTTTAGAGGTGGAGGTGACTTGTTAGGACACCTTCATGCGTTATCAGAAGCAGAGTCAATGCTCCATAGACATCAAGAGAGACTATTGAAAATCACAGATGAGGTTAGTGTGTGCTTCCATCTCTGAATGATCTTAATGCTTCCCATGGACCTGCACTATTTGCATATATCTCTTATGGACACCCTTAAATATTGAACGACACTAAAATTGATAGAAGGCATGTGACTTTGGAGCATGACAGTTGATCTCTCCATCTTAGGTATACAACATCTTACCTTTGTCCGAAGTATTTTCTTTTTGGAGTATATGGATACTTTCTGTGCTATTGCAGAGTTTAATGGTCATTGAGGATTTTTTACATCTGGCTGTATTTTTCTAAAGTTGTCTAGGTCTTTAAATTCCTCAGAAACCATGTAATCTATATACCTCATGTTAAAATGCTGGATCAGTACTTTATGTCCCAGCAAGTACAAAATCTGAAGTACATGTTTCTGGTTTGCCTTTTCATGCAGAATGAGTGAGTTGTGTTACGTACTGCTCTACTTATATGTCTTCAAACCTTTTTTTTTCTATCTACCTTAGTTATGTTGCATATACATGCACGCACATACACATATTTGTGTTTCTTATGTGGTTTTCTGGTATTGCAGATTGCCCGTCTTCAGCCTCTTCAAAAGAAATTCATGCACCTGAAGTCACAGTTGGAGCTGAAGTTGTATGACCTCTCGCTTTTTGAGGCTAGGGCTGAACAGAATGAGCATCATAAGGTAAATGAGCATTTAAAAAATGAAATTGAAAAGGGTAGGTTAGATTAGTTGACTTTTGGGTTGAGCTTCAAGGGTTGAACTGTCAGCTGCCATCATGCAAACCAGATGTCTTATCATTAGAACAGAGCCTAAGGATCACTGTCTCTAAATTTTTTGCTTGAGATCCTATGACTTTAGGTATTTACAAGACCTTATTTGCAGATATCCAGTTTTAGTTGGACCACCTTGTTATGGGAAGGATGCTTTTTGCACGTTTGTTGATGAATTCAGTGTCAGAACATGATGAACTTGGGGTCTTTGCATGGTACAGCTTGGTGAACTGGTAAAGAAGCTTGAGGAAGAGCTTGAGGACGCAAAGCTTGAAGTGAAAAGGTGTCAAGCTCTGTATGAAACATGTGTTGCTAATGTCTCATCTCTTGAGAAATCTATAAAGGACCATGGCAAAGATCGCGAGGGTAAACTAAAAACTTTGGATAAAAATATAAAGTCGGTAAAAGCTCAGATGCAATCGGCTTCTAAGGATCTTAAGGTAAAATATGCTTATTTTTAAGGTTGTATGTTTCTATTTGGATGTCTGTTGTGATATTATAAACATATTATTAATTCATCATCTTCAAGTTCAAAATAATGGTTACTAAGATGGCCTCTTACTTGTTTCATGCATATTTTCTGTTGCATCGGTGTTTGAGATCTTCAGAGAAATGTCCTCCTTGTGATCCAATGAGCTGATTAACTTTCTTGTAGTATGGTGGATAAGCAGAAAACAACAGCTTCTACCATCTATGAATTTCCTTTTGGATTGAATGTTGTTTGACATTTTTAGGTAATATTAATATTATTGATGTTTGGTTGTGCATGATGGCAGGTACATGAAAATGAGAAAGAGAGGCTTGTTATGGAAAAGGAAGCTGCTGTTCATGAGAAGACCTCTTTGCAAAGTCAGTCAGCTTTTGTAGAGGCACAGATTAAGGTTATGGCTGAAGAAGTCGATGGACTAACCAGCAGGGTACTTCCAACTTTTTGGAGCTATTAGTAGCATCCTTTGATGACAGATCATTTCTTTTGTGTTTTTTTTATTATTAATGAGTTGATTTTGTGGCCAATCTGTGGCATAATGCCAAATCACATGTACTTTGTCTTCATCATTCCTATCATAGGTAGATTCCATCAAGAAAGAGTATGATAAAGCTCAATGTGAACTCAATGCATGCCGGACAAAGTTGAAAGATTGCGACGAGGATATTGTTTGCTTTACCAAGGAGCAGCAGACACTTCAACAGAAACTGAGTGATGCAAATGTTGACAAAAAGAAATTGGAAAATGAGGTATGTCTATGGTATACTTTTCTAGTTGTAATCCTACAGTGAAACTTTTTCTGAAGAATTTACTGTTGAAGTAATTTCTTTGGGTAGATAGAGCTAGAAATTAACAAAGAGGTAAGAGAAATAGCGCTTTTATATTTTTTTCTATTTTAAAGATTTCAAGTTCATTGTTTTCTTGTCATTTTTAGAACTGAGATATTTTAGAAAATAAGAGAGGAAGTTAACGTGAGATATCAAAAGGCATTATATTGTTTAGAATTATCATATTTATTTGTGAGTTTTTTTTTTTTGTCGTCTTTAAAACTGAAGATATTTTTTACTCAGCATGGTGCACACACTGTACAAGGACTTTTTCTATTTGATGAATGCTTACCTTTTGTTTCGACAGGTGAAACGGATGGAATTGGAACAAAAAGATTGTTCTTCCAAAGTGGATAGACTATCGGAGAAGCATAGCTGGATTGGTGCTGAGAGGCACCTTTTTGGCAGAGGTGGTACTGATTATGACTTCTCATCTCGTGATCCCCATAAAGCAAAGGAGGAATTCGAAAGGCTGCAGGCTCAACAATCTGGGTTAGTGGTTTTCCTTTTACCAGCACTGAGCATTCTTGCTTGATGTTTTGATTTTGAGAAACATTCACGTATCATGGTTATTGACATTGTTTTTGGGAAAACTGTACATGTGACCCCACCCACGTATAGTGTATATGTGACCCTTTCTCTTAGCTGTCAGATCTGAGTAGATGGTTGGGATGGCTTGAGTCACAATGTTACAAGTTACCTCTTGAACAGTAGATCTTGATCCAACAGCTCAGAGTGCTTTATTTTTAATTTTTACTCTATAAATCATTTTGCAGCAAAATTTGGGGCATGCATACATCTGATAGGGCACACATGATGAAAATAATAATAAAATATTTCCTTTGATAAAAATTATTGAATATCAATGTTTTAAAAATCCGTGATTTGGATCAGAACTGGCCGATCCAGACGGGTGTCGGTGAAGCTGATCCGGATCCTGTTAAATATTGGGAACATGCCGGTTCCCTTTGCAAACCGGCCGGTTCGAATCGGCTCTCTGACAAAACCGGCAAGTTTTGAAAGCTTCTGTCGGAGAACTGGCTGACAGAACTAGTCGGTTTTGCATTAAATTGGCTCAGGTTCCCTTCCCACATTTGTTTTGTAGCATTTATTATATGAAAGCAGTCCCACCTCCATTTAATGGATTTTTTATTGCTTTATACCTTTATCCTCTCATACTTTATTACATAGTGGGCCCACCTCATTATAGAGGAGAGGCCCAACTCCAACCCATCAAATGGGCAACATTGTGATGCCTCTACGCCTTTTTTGTGTCTCGACTTTCATACCACATCTTCAATGTGGGATTTTTTGTGTATGTAAAAAAATATCACCCTCCTTTTGCTACATATTTGGCAAAGATCTGCAATGACTAAATAATTTTATGAGATAATGTTAAATTGGTAGGCGTATTACCTTACAAAGGAATTCTTTTTATCTGAAATTTTCCTAATCATCCACAATCAATTTAAAAACAAAATTAGAGCTAAAAAATGCTCCAAATTAGGAACCAATTGTGAATCATTCATTTGAGGACAATTTATCAAGATCTTTCTTTGAGTTTTACAAGAGAGAATTTCTCTTTTGTTTTAGGCATGATGCAGCAAATGGGTTTGTGCATTGTATTTCTTTTTTATTTATACACAAACCTATAAAATGAAACCCACTTTGTGTAAGTGGCATTCGAGATTGTAAAAAAAATAAAAAAAAGTGGTGTTAGAAACCATTTCGTGCAATTGTGGATTGTGTACCATGGAATGACATTTTGTGAGAACCACTATCACAACAAGGGGCAAAATATTCATGATCTAGAAGGTGGGACGGATTTGAAAAATGGGAAAAATAAATTGAAAAAGTTCATGTTTTGGGAAAAACAAACTAAAAAATGCAAAGAAACATAAGGTAGCCCCTCTTTTGAAAATTCTCATTTTAAATAATGTTAAATTTCTTTACTTTCTCCTAAGGAATAGTTGATTTACACAATCCATGATCTTTTTTCAGCCCCAAAACGCTCTAGAAAGCGAAATTAATGGTCAATAACATCAAGACAGGGAAATGACATCTCAATATTTACGTATTTTGGAAAAATAATGGGAGTGCATGATGCTCCATTCTCAATTTTTTTAGAACTCACATAAAACTATTTTTAGGGATTTTCAGTGAGTTTTTTAAATTTTTTTTGAGGTCATAACCGGCCCATTCTTTGATCTGGATTGCCGATAGGACCCGCTTTTTGGGATGGCCAATCCAGGTCATCAATCCATTTTTTTAAACTTTGATATATATATATATATATATATTATGTGTGGGTGTGCTTTATGTAAGGCGTTAGTCCTAACCTATCAAAGTAAGGCACACCTTCAAATAGTGCTGAAATATGTTTTTTCACTATCATGAATCTTTTTGATGGCCCAGAAATTTATTTTTATCTGTAATTATAAAATTTAAAGATTAAACAACAGCGTAGATCGAGCGGATCTACGAACACTTGAAAATTGATGGTCTAAATTATATATTATAAGGTGCACAATTTCCAAGATTTGAATTTTTTTTTTTTTTTTTTTTCTGAGTTCGTACATCTTGTGAGTGACATGAACGAATTGAGGGTTTTGTAGCATCAAAACAACCACTTCTTGGGAATTTTTGAGGTGCGCCTTAATTTGATTGTTTAGGGCCTCGCCCTTATATAAACCTTTACCTCTATATTTATATGGGTGAGGGTTGGATAAGGTGTCAACCTTATATTATTGAAGTAAGGTGCACCTCAAAACTATGCCGAAAATGCAGTTTCGGTACCGTAAAGCCTTGCAATGATATGAAAGTCTATTGTTACCCCCAATTATGAAATTTAAAGCTCAAAAAATGGTGACGATCAAGCAGATCTATAAACATTTGAAAATCTTGAAAATAGATGGTCCAGATAATGTGTTAGAAGATGAACTATTTTTAGGACTAGAAATCCCCTTTCTATGAATCTCAAGGTCTAGATGATCGATTTTGGGGTTTTTCAGCAAGGAACAACCTTCTCTAGTGGGTTTTTTAGGTGTACCTTACTCCTACAATATAAGGTTGACACCTTATGTAAACATTTTCCTATATATATTGCTAGGTGCGCCCCAATAGGAAGATAGAACATCCCAAATTTCTCTAAAAAATGCTTTGTAGAAAAAATTAAAAATCCAACAATATTTGGCGTGATATTGTGATATGAGCAATCCTAGCCATCCATTCAAATTGAATGGTTGATAAATGGGGTCACATATAATTTATACGTAGGTGGGGTCATATAGAAAGCTTTCCCTTTTGTTTTATGTGTTTTATTGACATAAAATACCCAGTCATATTTTTCTCAAATTGATTTATTTTGTTCTTGAAGCCTAGAGAAGAGGGTCAACAAGAAAGTTATGGCAATGTTTGAGAAAGCTGAAGATGAATTCAAAGATCTGATATCGAAAAAAAATATTATTGAGGTAATCCTTCTTCATCTCAATGTACCAGGGATACTTTCATTAGTTCAATGTTATTGACATTTTGAGTGTGATTGTTTCAAATTTGTTTCTCCTCCATAGAATGACAAGTCAAAAATTAAGAAGGTGATTGAAGAGCTGGATGAGAAGAAAAAGGAGACCTTAAAAAATACATGGGTTAAAGTAAACAAGTGAGTAGTTGCATTTTAGAGGTTTGATTAGTTTTAACTTCTCTATCTCAACTGACATCTGAAATTTGTTAAGTATACAGAAATGCATCAGACTATGGAAAACCATAATCCACGGGATTCATCACCTTCACTTGACATGGTGGATGGTTATAAGAGGGGAGCAGCACCCTCCAGAAATGTGCATGATTTCAATGGTGGCTCTTGCCCTCCTTTTTGCCATCACCCACCATTTCATTGGACAGTGATGACCCCAGTGGACTACAATTTTCCACAGTTTAAATAGAATATTTTCCTTTAAAAGATTCCTGTATATCTTTTGCCCACATGTATGAAATTCATTTCAATATTCTTCTTTGATTGCTTCTATATATTTGCAGAGACTTTGGATCCATCTTCTCTACACTTCTTCCAGGAACAATGGCAAAGCTTGAACCTCCAGAAGGTGGAACGTTTCTAGATGGTCTTGAGGTGCGTGTTGCTTTTGGAAGTGTTTGGAAGCAATCACTATCAGAACTTAGTGGTGGCCAGAGATCTCTGCTTGCTCTCTCACTCATCTTGGCTTTGCTGCTCTTCAAACCAGCACCGCTATATATACTTGATGAGGTAATGGCAGTCTGTTTTGTAGGTGGATCAAACATTAGATATCATCTGTATGCATATCGAACAATAGATAGACAGATTAATATATATATATATATATATATATATATATAGGATGCGGCTTCTATAAGGTTGCAACCTTAAACAATCCAATTAAAGCGCACCTTAAAATTTTATCATAACATGCAATTTTGTTGTTAAAATTTCTTAGTATTATCTTAAAATCTATTTTCATACCTACTTAGAAAATTTTAAATTCCAAAAATGGTTAAAATCAAGTAGATCTATAAAAATATGAAAATCTGAAAATGGGCGGTCTAGTTAATATGTTCCAAGATGCACTATTTTTGATATTCAAAGTTTTTTTTTTTTCATATTCATAG